CATGATAAAGAGACTATTTTGTCCCCTTTACTATGAAATATTGTGGTTCTAAAAATTCAAATTATATTCAACAATGTCGTCTTACAACCTTCAGTATTATAAACATCCTGGCAGTGTTTTATTATGATCTGCACATCTTCCACGCTAAGCTTTGTAAGATAATCTACACTTCCATCTTGCAGGATGGCAGGAATTTATCATAAGAACATTCGCAGACCACGCCTTGTTCTGGAAAGGCGTGCTGACAGCAGAGCGTGCACAGCCACAGATAGCAGAGCCCGCGCTGTTCACCTGCAGATCTTTAGGCTAACGGTGCCAGGGAAGCTCAGGATATCTGAAATTGAGTTTCCTCTGTAAAGAAGAAAACAATTTAACTTTCAAAAATATTCGAGTTTTCTTGGATAAGAAAAAGAACCTCTATGTTAATAGGTTCATTGAATTCTATGCCTTCATTTTACTGTGCTCCTCTTTCCATGGGTGACAGGAATTTATTAGTTATTAATTTTATCCTGAATGGGACAACATCTCCAAGATCTATTTCGTTGGTTCTTTGTTATTAACAGTAAAATGTGCGTCTCTTTCCTAATAAAAGGAAAAGATGCATAACATTCTTTATTGTTTAAATCCTGTCTTATGTTTAATCCTCATTCGCCTGGGTTATTGCCTTAAATTCTGAAGTTCAACTCTGGCCTACAACAGACTCCAGGTAATGGGATTTCTAGGTCAGTTTCTCCACGCTGTCCCTGTGAACAGCAACATCAGGATTACTTTGAGGGACTCACTGGAAATGGAAATCCGTGAGCACTATCTAGATTTACTACATTGTGAACTGTAGATTGATTCTAGCAATCTTTCCACTACTTTAGTGCATACTTGCACTGGAGAATCCTTGAGCTAAAACCTTCTAAAATACTTGGGTGCTGAATTCTTCAGTCCCCTAAGGGAGAAGTTTCTTTCTTTCTTTTTTTAATGATCACACTGGTTGTCAAGAGAAGGGCTAAATCTTCCTACCAAGGTGTTGAATAAGTCACCTGGTTCATGAATATGGATCAGATCATTTACATATATGGTCCTGGAAGCCTTCTTCAACTTATTTATAGATAAGAAATCTCTTTCTCCTTTTTTATTTGTGGTATGGCCTGTTTGGGTTTTCTTTTTTTGTCTTTAGGTTAAATTTTGGTGTTTTTTGCCACATAGGAAAAGTGAGAGGGAATTCAGTTTTGTAAGAGGACCCCGAGCATGCTGCATTCGTTCACGCACATTACATGTCCACAACATTCAAACGGTCCTTTTCATTTAGTTTTGGTAAATTAATAACGTTGATTAAATGTAATTTTAATGTATTTCTAGTTATGCCCCAAAGGTCTAGATGACAAATAGCAGCCACACACCGGGGCCCATTTCGGCAGCAGATCCCACAATCTGCTCTGCCAGTGCAGACAGTCTGTGTAACTGGAACATTCACTATTGTGTCCTTGTGTCTGGCTTCCTTCACTTACCATGATGGCGAGGTTGGGGGGGGGGCATTGGTGTTACTAGAATTTGAACGCAGAACCTTGGACTTGCTAGGCAGTCTCTCCATCACTTTGAGTCACAACCCCAGAGCATCATGTCTTTCAGTCCATCTGCGTCTCCTCTGTTACTCATTTGTCAGCCAAACATTTTTCACATACTATTATTTCTTCATTCTGTAGAGTTTATGGAACTAATATACCTCTCAACACTCATCTATGAGTTCCTGTGAGAATGTGTGTCCTTATTCTTGGTGGAACTGTGGAGACTTCAGATAAGTGGATATTTCATATTTTAGAGACTTCCAAATCATTTTCCAAGGTAGTTGTACTGGTTTTCTTTTCCATACGCTATGTAAGGGTTCCAATTTCTCCACATTCTCTTCAGGTTTATGGTCTATCATTTGATGATAGACCGTGTATGGTATATTGTTATGGCCATTATAGCTTTGTTTGGCCGACTAATGACATTGAACACCATTGTACCGTCTTCCAAGTGAGTATACATGCTTTTACCTTACTTTCTGGTTATAGAAATTTTCAGCAAATAAATAAATATAAATAACGTAATGATTCTCAACCTTGGCTACATGTATTAGTCACTGAGTGAGTTCAGATTCTATTTCCGAAAACAGTTTAACCAGAGTTCTATAGAGAGATCAGGAAATAAATTCTCTGTATTAGTGATAGATGCAAACGCTACAAACATTTTTAGCATTGGATTTTTTTGTTTTGCTTTAGTTTGACAGATACTGAAATGCTACCAAGTGGTTGAAAGAAGTTTTTTTTCTGATACTGAGATTTGAACTCGGAATCTCATGTTCACTAGACTTATTTGCTTGTCTGGCACTCTAGCACCTGAACCACACCTACATCCCATCCTTTTGCTAGTTATTTTTAGTTGTAAAGTCTCATAGGCTTTTCTGCCTGCGCTTGCCCTGAACTGTGGTTCTCTAGATTTCATTCTCTTGAGTAGCTAGGATTATAGATGTGAGAGCCACTGGCGCCTGGCTGTACATTTTTACTTGGAAGCAAGTCTCTAAGAGTCATAGTTTAGGAAGAAACTCAGTACATTGTGAGAACCCTTCCACATTGCCAGGTTGCTCCTAGTCATTGTTATTTTTGGTTCATCTAACCTGAAAATGTGATAAACAAGGAAATAGATGGGCTTTGGATAGTGTGAAAAGAGAGTCAAGTATCCCATTTTATTATTGAATAACATTAGCTTTATTATGATAATAGAATACAGTATGACATAAAATCAAGAGCTTTTGCTAAACTCTGTAAAGCAATACATGCATCTGCCATAAACAGCCTTGACTCTTGTTGGGTTTTATTGCCACTTCACTGCACTAAGGTGCAATAAACATTCACTGTCATCTTTTGGGAAGAAAAAGTCCTGGGAGTAAACAGGAACTGTCCTCTATAAGAGTGCATCTTTATTTTCAAGGAAGACTCAACTAGCATCACATGGTTTAGCAAAGCACTGTAGAAAAGGCTACATAGAATAGTTGGTCTTTGATAACTGTGCAATCAGTTCATACAATAGAGTGCTACCCACATGTACTAACAACTAAGAAATGGGAAGAAGGCAGTCATTGCATAGCAGAAAGCAGACTAAGAAGAAGTATTCACATCTAATGAGCAAAGTACAGATCAAAGGTTAGCCGAGAGGAGTCTGGGAGATAAAATGCTCTCAAGAAATACATTAGATCAACGTCGAGAAATAACAAGATAAACAGCAACATAGAAGTTAGAGCCATCATTTATTTTATTTTCTATACATAGTATCTACAGATGATACCAGAGGATGAATGTTCTTGGTCAGCCTTTATTGGACTAGCTCATGAAGTTTAGGCAAGACCAAATCGAACAGTGAAACACATTGAAAAATGAAAACCAGAGTTTGGTTAGGAAAACAGGTATATTTTACTCCATCATTGGATAGCAGCTTTTAGAGAAAAACCATTGCTCAAAACTAAGATTGGAATCTCAACTGTCTTATTTGGTAGTGATGCGAAACGTTTATGCCATATTATTGTAAATATGTTTACGCCATGACCTGTAGACTCTCAACACTAAATTTAAATATCTGTGAAACTCTGACAAAGGAGACTTCAAAAAATACCTTCTGCATAAATATTTATTTCTAAAGCATCTGGGCAGTAATGAAAGACTAGAATTTTTATAGGGAGTCTTACTGGACCTCTTTTAATTTAAAGCCCTTACATTGTATGCCTACAAATATATTGCTACAGTATAAATGAAATGTAGTAAGATTACCCAATAAAAGCTATTTCCTGTACACTCTGTCATGTATTTTATAGTGAATGTTACATATGGTACAGCACTTATTGAAATAGTTGATATCAGCAAATATAGCAATAATATACAGTTGAATTTGTTTAGCTCCAGCAAATACTTCCCATTTTCTTTCTATATTACAAGAGCTTAACCTAGGAAAATGTGGGGTGGCAGGACTTGAGCAGAGAGCCTCTGATCTGCTGTGGGACACCAAACAAAACGGTCTATATTAGGTGCTTTTGCTGTACAAGAGAACTTGACACTCAACACATCGTATGTTGCAGCTGCTCCTGACATGCTGTCCTGTCTTGAAGTATAGGCTCAGGATGTCTCCTCCTAGCTTTCAACCACATTCTGACGGCTACCCGTGGTGACTTCTATGCAAATAGTATGAACATAACTTTTAAAAAAGTAAAAAAATGTACAGTCCCATGCTGAATATTTACATATATAATTTTCTATATTGTATTTTCGTGTCCTAGTCATAAATTTCAATCTAAAGCTTTTAATGACGTTGTATAAAAGAATACATTCAACAATTCTAGAGCTTGCAAAATACCTTTGCCCCTCTAAAAACATCTTCATAACAAGAATAGAGTGATTATTGAATCAATTTTGCTGTCTGGAAATAGAATGGAAAAACTAGTTGATTAAATAATTCAGATGTCTCTTAAGATAATTCTTTTATCGAGAAGAGTAGCAAAACATGAGATGGTAGCCAAGCAGGGTCTTCAAAGTGTTTCTCCGCCTCGGAGTGAATGAACTCTACATGGAGCAGTGACAACCTGGCCTACATCATTTCTATGAATTTTAAAATACCATTCGACAACTAAAGAATGCAGTAGAGATTTTTTTGGAAAGGAGAAAATATGGAGAATATTTAGTTTGGGAAACAAAATGTGAAAGCTGTACAGCCACTTAAAAAGGAAAACAACTCCAGAAGCACCCCCATTGCCCAGGCAAAAAAGGCAAAGGTGCTTTAGAATTTTCTTCATTAAACATTTATAATTTATCCTCTTAAATACCTTCACACAAAAATAGTTTTTGACATATACAGTATCTTTTTTCAAAGAATATTTGGCAATATACATGTACCAGCAATTCAGGTGTCATAGGTCAGCTCCATTTCTTTCTTCTTCCACTTTTCCTCTTAGCTTTGGACTTCTTCTCCTCCCTGTCACCTTGGTCTCCTTGGATACCACTTTTCTCTCTAGCTTTCTTTCCTGTCTCTGAGCTGCATGTTCTGCTCGGCTCTGGACTGCCAGCCAGGGGTCTCTTGTTCTTATATGAATTATGGAAATAAGGAAACCTTCGAATTCTTTTAAGACAGAGGCAATAAAGCAGCTAGGAACCACTGCGCTTTGAACAGAAAGCGATTCCCAGTGTGGAGGACGGAACAACAGAACGTGACTGACAGGACCTACTGGTGCGGGGTAGGAGCCTTGAGCTGAGGCTCTCGGTTTAAATACGTAGCCCAGTAGACTAAGTTAAAGATTCCGAACAGCAGCGGGAAGGCTATTCTTGACAGCCGGTCGATTTTGCTGACACTGTTAAAGGTTTTCTTGGGTTCCGGGGGTTTTGTTTCAGGCTTCACTTCTTTGGGCTCTATCGTTGCACTTTTAGCAATGGTGGCTAAGCCAGGGTCACCCCTAGCCAAATTAGGGGTGTAGCTGGTTGCTGTTGGAGCATAAGTGTTGTTTTTCTTAATGAGTGGATCCTTCACTTTCTTTGGCTGTAGAAGGAAAAGCAAAGCAATTGTTTAACACACACACACAAAACACACACAAAACACACACACACCACTGTAAGAAGCAAAATTACAAGTTGCTGGCTAAACTGGCCCTTGCTTTGAAACTCAATTCTGTTTTTAGTTAAAAAATCTAACTGACAGACAATATATTATATACCTTGTCATTAAAAAAAAATGGAGTCTGCTGAGCACCTGCTTTTTTGATGTCTGTAATCCTAGCTACTTGGGAGGCTGCAATCCAGAGGATAGCAGTTTAAGACCATCTTAATGCAGACAATTCTGTAAGGATCTATACCAGGGGAAGAAGTTGAGTACTCGGCTTGGCACCTGCCACCCCAGCTACCGCAGGAAGCCTGAAATAGGAGGATGGTGGTCCCAGGTATACATTCAGGCAAGAGTCAATGCCCAAACTCAAAAATGACCAGTGCAAAAATTGGTTGGAGGCCTGGTAGAGTGGTAGAGCACCCTCCTAACAAGTGAGCATCCTTGAGTTCAAAACCACATAAAACCTAACACAGAGAGAAATAAAAGAAGCGGAGTCTGTTTCTTCCCTGGTTTAATGCAGAATGGAATTAGGAGTGGCAGAGTGGTGTTATGCAATCTCAAGGTCATAAAGTGAACACCTCGACCTTCACCTACCACGAACGCCACTGCTGAGTGAGAACGCCGAATGTCTGGTAGAGAGAAGCCCAGCTGACGGCAGCTGTGGGAGGGAACCTCTACCCCAGCAGGTTGCTCCTACCCCCAAATCCTGAGCAAGTAATTGGCTATTGTTTTTGGCGACTACATTTCGGGGTGTGTTGCTTTACAGCACTCAGTTGCTGAGCTAATTATTCTTTAATTATTAATTAATTAGTTGATGATCGCTCCTCATGTTTCCAGTGGGCAAAAGATCAATAGGACTATTTAGGGTTCCCTTCGTTCAATCTCTGTTCAGGTTCACTTGCTCAGCCGTGCTATGTGATGGATGAGTCAAGAACCTGGTGGTAACATTTCTTTCATACAAACATTTCTTCAGAAACGATTGGCTTAAAGCGACGTGGTCTGATAGAGTTGCCATTAGCCACCGGTGAACCCTGAGCCCTAGAACTGTGGCTGGTCTGCTCTGAGTGGACTGTAAGAACATTTTACAGATCTTTTACATTAAAACATTTTCACGTGTGGGGCACCGCAGGTGTGAGGAAGTGCCTACCTTCTCTGGAACCACACTTTTGCCGTCCCACGCATAGCCCCTCTTGGTGAAGTAGTTGACGGTGGCAAACTCAATCAGAGCGGAGAAGACAAAAGCATAGCACACGGCGATGAACCAGTCCATGGCCGTGGCGTAGGCCACCTTCGGGAGGGAGTTCCTGGCGCTGATGCTCAAAGTGGTCATGGTCAGCACAGTTGTCACTCCTGGAGGGAAAGAAAGCAGGCGAACTCTCATCACCGGAGCTAGGAAAGCAACAGCACTCTGTGCAGAATGTGGTCTGTAAGCCATCCCACTTTAGCTAGGAGCGGGGAGGAGTGAAAATCTAACCCGGTGGCGTGTGTGGATTGTGGGGTGGCAGGATTGAGGGAGATGTCTCGGAGGGATAAACCGAGGTTTGGTTGAGGAGCTGTTTGTTCATCTGCTCATGAACTTCTTAAATGGGCACTTCCCCTATATGGCATAGAATAGAATAGAATAGAATAGAATATGGCATAGAGTAGCATAGAAAAGAACATTCTTCACTGTACCCAGCTCTTGAAAGAGAAATCACAGATCTGTACTGCTGCTGATCCACAAGGAATATGTAAATCTTCAGGGTTGTTTTTTTTTTAATATTCAACTTGAAAGCCAGTGATTGCTTGATAATTAAGAGATAAAGTGTTAGGATGATAATCTGCCACTTTATTAACTCTTTTTCTTTTACACTATTTTCTCCTGATTCTGAAACAACTGTCCATTTAGAGAAAATCCTGGGAGCCACATGTATGTGTGCATGTGTATGCATATGTATATGTGTATACACATATATACATATTTACACACTTATACAAGTATATGTATACATGTGTATATATTATATATTATATATATATGCATATATTATGTATACATGTGTATACATATGTATATATACAGCAGGTTACATAAAACTATTATACACACATATATACTGTATATATGTGTATACATAATAAATTTTACAGATTTGCTTAAAGTCAGCAGCTAAGAGACAAGCAAAATATAAACCTTAACCACAAGTCTGTCTGCTCTTTGCTTTTATGCTAATTCTGTCTCAATCTCTCTCATTCTGGAACTCCACTGCAGGGATTTAAATGACCTACATTCAAGGTCAAAGCCATTTTCAAGTTAGTCTTTTCAATTTATTTAGGTAAGATGAATTGCTATGCAAAAGATGATATTGTTGGGTGTTCAACTAAATAGCTGATTTCCTCAGTGTCACATACTTCATCTACTCTGTTAGAAGGCAGTATAGTGCATAACAGTTCATCATATATACTGTACTGTATTATATACAGTACTGTATATATATACTGTATATATATATATACTATACAGTATATATACGGTACTGTAATATATACTGTACTATAGTGTATTAGATACAGCACTGAGTATAATATTGCAAGGTTCCTCCTTGTCCATCTGAAAAACGTTTGAAAATACTCCACAGGAAAACAGGTGACCTGCCGCAGAAGTAATCTTGAGCTCCTCCATTGCTGATCCTCAACATCCTCCAATAAACAAACACCTCCTCAATCTCCAGAGCTCTAAACTGGACAGCTTGCTCTCCATTCTCTCCACCATCAGTATAATTCCCAGAGAGGGAGATTTCTGTCCCGTCACTCACAGGATTATTGTGAGGACCAAATGTAGTCGTATAAAATGATACTTTCAAAACTATAAATAATGTATTGCGGTGGTAGGTCTTGTCTTTTCTTGTGCCTTAGGCTCGAACCTGTGATTCTTCTCGTTAGAAAATCAGCTGGGTCACGTGGTAGGTGGTGAATATTTGTAATCTGTTTCCCACTAACAAATATTCCCTAGTTTTCCATGAATTTCAAGGCAAGATAGCCTAAGAAAGGATATCATCAAGAATAAATATGGCAAGATTTTTTTAATCAACATTTTATCTTTGACACATGGTCAGAGTTATATGAAATAGAATCACTTTGAGCTTTGGAGGGATTACAGAAAATTCTGGGGCACTGTTGGTATTATATAACTAACAATCATTTAATGAATATTGGCTGGAAAACAGCCCCCAAATTTACATATCAATACTAACTAGAGAAAATAACAAAGTAATTAAAAGTCAGTGTTTGGGGAACACAGCAACCCAGTTTCAAGTCCCACTTGTGTAAGTGCTGAGTGACCTTGGGACAGCTGCTTCACAATCTTGGGTTTCTGGTTTTTGTTGTTTGATTTTTTTTTTCCTTGCTAATTGATTTTTTAAAGTCAAAAGCACAGTGCTGTTAGAGTGTTCAGTGAGGTAGTATAATCAAGTGTTTAGTTCTTAGACTCAGAGTGACTAATGGCAAAATTAATGACTGTTATCACTGCAAATTTCAATATCCATTTGATAATTCTATCAGTAAAAAAATATTTTTATAGCAGCACTGCAAAGTAATTTGCAATGGTTATGCATCCACCTAAAGTATCCACGGACTGTGAGCAATTAAAAAGCACTAAAGCATAAGAAGTGTATGTGTGTGTTTGTGTGTGTGTGTGTGTGTGTGTCTTGAAATCCTTAGAGAAAAAAAGGAATAAAACTTGCTGAGCAGCCACTAAGTTCTAAACATATATGTATGTATATACATACATATATATGTATATATATATAGACAGAGAGAGAGAGAGAGATGGATCTATATATAATCATTGTCTCACTGAATTATTTGAACAACACTATTTCACTTTCCCTGAACTCTCACTTGATAGGCAACCGGAAGTCAGAAAGATAAATTATCTATTCCTGTACAAATGGCAGCTGATGAGGCTGACCCTAAACTTGGAACTTCCTGGAAGTAACATGACAAACCCCATTGCCTACAAGTGAGAGAGTGTGGAAAGCCACGAGGACGACCTTTTAAGACATGAAGAAGCCATCAGCCTGTTGCATTCTAGATTCTTCTTTTGAAAATTAGCTTATAAAAGATAACTCTTGTTAGTTTGTTTTTCCTTTTTTTCGTATTCTAAGTACTGGAGATCTACTCAGGCACATATAAAGCTCAGAGTAATGTGCTAAGTTCGGGCTAAAAAGAATAGAAATATGTGTGCTAGATAAATGTTAGAAGGCTAAAGGTCTAGGAAAGTTGTATTTGTGATCTGATTGAACTTAAACACTGGAAACATATAACGTGTTACACAGAAATACTTGGCCCAGCTGAGTTTATACATGTATAGTTCTGTTCCCAAAAGGGCAGGAGTCGATTGAGATATACAGTCATTGGAAATGTTAAGAGCAATGTTTTTGATATATAAAACATTTAAAAATGCCTCGGACAATTCCCAAGTAGAAAGGGTAGCATTTGTTGGCAAGAGAAGGAGAAAAGATAGCACCTAAAAGAATCTTTTTCACTCAAGTGATGGCCTTACTCATCAAAAATAAAAGAAAGCAAAACACATTCAAAACTTACCCATGTGTCCTGATTTAGATTTAATTTCCTCCTAAGTTAATGGGATACAACACACACACACACACACACACACACACACACGAGAATCTTACCAAAAGATCAGGCTCTGGGGATCTCAATACTTATTCATCTTGATATCCATTATAAAGAGAAATGAGTTTGAAATGAACTTTTCTTTTGCTCTAGAACTAGACGCGGTCTGTGTCTGTAACGAGGCTGCTGTCAGGGACAGTGCGCAGAGCTGGAAGCTCTGTCCTGTTTGAGATAAGTAACTTTTCAGGATACTGGTGGTGGCATCTGATTCTCCACGTGTGGCACATCTGGAGGGATGCCTGTCACGTGCTCTCCTTCAGACCACAGTGTCTTCAGCACAGCAGGGCTATCACTGGCACTTGTAGAGTAAACCTTGGTCATCGTGTCTTTCGCGGGTGAACATGTGATTATTACGTTTCAAGGAATGGCGTAGATGTTGTCATCGCAGTGGGATGGTGTGGAGGTAATTACAAGTATCAGCCCCAGGCACCAACTCTGGGGTTAAGTGCCTGTGTCCTGTCCTCACGCCCCACCGCCCCCCTCAGAGCTTCTGGCCCTCAGGCTACTTAGTGTAGTGTTCCTGTGGTTTCACGTTTATGAAAGTAACATGATAGTATTTATAACAGGTAGGGCAGTGTTAGGGTTAAGTGACAGAATATAGGTTAATTATATTGAGCCGTGCCCAGTGTAAAAGCACACTGCAACTAGCCTCCATGATTTTTATCATTTTCCCAATATCAAGCTCCAGAATTTGCCCCAATGAGAAGAGCGGTCTGTGTTCAATTTGACATTGCATTTTGCTCCTAGTATATAGCATCACAGTAGTTTCAAATAAAAACGGATTGAATGAATAAATATAGTGAAATACTTTCGTCAATCTGGTAAGTACAATTGAGATAGGATACTGGATCAAATATAAACTGTATCAAATGTAAACTCTGAAACACAACACCAAGAGGGCAGTTTTCCCATTAGAGAAAGGTTGCCAACTTTGGTGGTGGGGGCGGGGGAGGGGGGCGGAGGATGGGAAGGGGAAACAAAGGAGGAGGCTACAATGCTTGATAAGAAATGTACTCATTATCTTGCCCATGTAATTGTAACCTCTCTGTACAGTATTTTCACAATAAAAAATGTTTATAATTTTTAAAAAAGAGAAAGGTTGCTTGCCCTGTAAATAATTCTTCATCAGATTACTTGAATGATTTGGGTCACTTAAAAGGTTTTCATAGGATAACATGCATCTTCGTAATTCTTCAGTGGTGTATGTGTTAGGTAAAGCGGGACAGCCTTCTGTGGTCAGGGTGAGTCATGAGCTCTCCCTCTTTAAGGAAACATGAGGGCTTTGGTTCTGTTTTTGTTTAGAAACAGAAATTTTATATGAGGAGGGATGTACTTTATGGCTGTCTTCTGAGAGTCTTTTCAAAGGGTACTGATAGATGAGCTATTCCCAGTGTATTTGTTTGAATGTCTTTTAAACCTGCTCCCCCTACACAAAAGCAAAAATACTTAAAAATCAGATCAAATGTCATCAATGCAGTCCATCCACACTCTCTGAAATGGCTACATAGATAGATAGAGACAGAGAGAGAGAGAGAGAGAGACAGAGAGACAGAATGATTTTAACTACCAAAACAGTATTGTCCAAAGTATAATAGGAATGACAACAATTCTTGGACCCTTGCCTTCAGAGTAACGTCAGAGCAAAATCCAAGAGATCGCTTCCACCTCCTTGACATATGGCACACGTGGTGCTCAGTGCCCTCTAGACCCTCGCTGCACGACACTTACCAAAGACAGTCCTCGCTGGCACCGACTCTCGGTTGAGCCAGAAGGAGACTTGTGAGAGGATGACCGTCATGATGCACGGCAAGTAGGTTTGAATCACAAAATAGCCAATCTTCCTCTTCAAGTGGAAGTGAGTCGTCATAACAACATACTCTCCTGGAGGGTGGGACAGATGGAAAGTTGAACAGTTTGAACTTGGAAAGCAAATGGTTTCTGAGGTTTTCCATTTGCAGCACAGTCCCTTCTCTATGTGACATCCCGTCACTGGAGATAAAGACTTTTGAACGAGAGAGAAAAGAAGCACTTTTATTATACATTCAAATCACTATGAGCATGAAATTGAGTTTCCAGAAACCTCGCAGATACTCAAACCCCCTCACGTTGCTAGACGAGATGTCTAGGGGAAAAATCTGATCGTCTGTTTGCAGATTGGCTGTAAGGACTTAATGTGCCAGATTTGGTTACATATATTAATATATACATAGAATAGAACCAAGCATTGGTGGCTCACGCCTGTAATCCTGCACTCTGAGGATCGAGGTTTGAAGCCAGCTCAGGCAGAAAAGTCCATGAGACTCTAATCTCCAATAAACCACTCAAAACTAGCCGAAGTGGCGCTATGGCTCACGTGGTAGAGCTGAAGGACAGTACCCAGACTCTGAGTTCAAGCCCCATTACCAGCACCAAAAAATAAAAAATCCAAAAGAGCAGACATGAGGATGAACACGCAGAACTGGCTCGGGGTGTGTGTTGCAGGTGCTTTCGTAGGCAAGTCAGGACAGGCACATTTTAGTTCGAATACTTTTTTGGACCTAGAGTGAGTAATTTAGATGGCCTGAAATCCAAAGCGAGGAGCAGACTGAACCCGTGCTTCCAAGTTTCCTTCCCCAGAGCATCCAAGCAGCATGAGTTCTTCGACTCCCACCTAGATTTACAAACCATTTCTTAAGTTGCCAGAAAAAAAAAAATCTGTTAGTATACTGGATGTATTTCTTTTCTCAGTACTGGGGGTCGAACCCAAAGCTTCACACCCTCCAGGGGAGCGACCTGCCACTGAGCTCCGTCACCAGGCCTGTGATGGCTCTCCATCCAGCACCCCCTGCCCAGCCTGGCAGCCTCAGCGCCCCCACGGTCTTTCTCTGCTTCAGACCCTGGCTTTATTTAGAGGCCAGGAACAGCAGACACACCACCCAAACTGCAAGAATGGTTTGTGTTTCTTCATGTTACATTTTTTTTCCAATTACAAATCCTAGAACTTCTTGTCCTGAGTCACCGAGAAGATAAGCTTAGCTCTCTGTGGGTGGAGAGAAGAGAAGTAGATGTGTTCTGCATTAGGAAGCTTCATTCTATTTACAAGGGTTTTTTTCCCCTCATTTTTTCTCCTTTGAACTTCCCCCTGTATAGTTTACACCTTTGTACAGACCTCTGGACACCTGACTTCAGCCCCTATAAGATGACTCCCACTACTTAGCACCCCCTTGATCCCCATAAACAGAGCCTCTTGACAAATCTCACTTCTGTAGCTAGGTGCTAGTGGCTCATGCCTGTAATCCTAGCCACTCAGAAGACTGAGATCAGAAGCTCTTGATTTGAAGCCAGCCAGGGTAGAAAAGCCTGAGAAACTCCATCTCCTAATTAACTAGCAAAAATACCAGGCTGGAGGTGGTGATCCAGTGTTAGAGGACCAGCCTTGATCAGACAGACAGGGCCGGCTCTGCAAAGAGCAGAGTTAAATCTATAGCACCAACCCAAAGGAGAAAAATAACAGAGAAAAGGAAAGAAAAGCAGCCATCTGGCAGCTGGTTGCTCACGTGGCACAGCCTTGAGTAACGCGTGCCCTCCACTCCCCTGTTCTCCTCACTCTTCTTCCACATTGGTAAATGTATTGGCAGAAGAAATGCATTGACTGTTTACAGGAGAGAATCATCCATGCATTCATTCCTGCTCTCTCAGTAGTAATGATTATTAATGACAACACCTGCTATTTTCCCAGCGTCTCCTAAATTCTTTCAGCTGTTGTTTATATGTACCATAGCGTCTCGTATGTTTTATTTCAGTTATCTGTATGTTTATGCCCATCCTACCAAACTGAAAGAGAGAAGCAGTTCTTCAGATACAGCGTGACCCCACACGTCCTCTGAAGCCACACCTGTCTGTGATGAAATGGAAACTTAAGGTCACACAAAACGAAATCCATGACTATCTGCATTTGAAGAATAAGCCAAACGCTAGCTAATTAATTTTCTATATTGTCTGTATGCCTTTGGTGATGCCTTAAAGGTCAAATAAAAGAGAAAGGAGTGATCCAAAGATGACAACAGAATTCAAAAAGCCAGTCTTCCCGAAGCTCAGCTAGAATACATTCCTGTGAGGACAAACCCCTCCTGGCTCTCAGCACCACAGGGTGCGCGTTGTTATTCCTGACCAGTCGTTCCGGGTGCCCAGCAAAATGTCACCATCTCAAAGCAAAAAAAAATCCATCGTTCCTATAATGCCAGGAAGATGAGCACCTACACAGGTCTAATTATTGTTTGTTGTGTGTGGTGCGGCATTTTTTTGCTGAGAATCTGAAAAGAAGAGGGTGTTTTAGAGATCTAAGGAGCCACTATGTTTGTTTTATAAACAAGTTACTTCCCTTACAGATTGTGGAAAGCATAGGAGGATTCGTAATATTTGGAAACATCTCCTTAAATTAAGTGAAATTTAAGGAGGGTTGGCACTAAAATTTTAAGTGAGGGAAAGAAAGGACAGCAACGTCTGAGTCAAGTTGTAATAATTTAAAAATAAAACGAAAACACAACAACAAAATTGGATTGAGAGTCTAGACACCAAATGCTTATGCTCTAAGCATGTGAAATGCTTTTTCTCTAATTCAACAGTCTTGAAGACTTGCTATTCAAATATCCTGCTACATATCATCGAGCCCTAGGGGAACTGGGTAAATTAGATGTAACAATATTTCTGATCTATTACAATATAAAATAAATGAGAGTAGAAGAATGGAAAAAGGGATGTAATGTGGCAAAATCTGCCAGTAATGTGGGGGTAGAGCTGCCTCATAATATTCACTTTCCCAAATGTTAGTTACTAGAAGATAAATAATTCAACTGATTTTGCTTTGCTGATTTGTCCAATTAATAGGAAAGTATTTAGCTGAACTATTTTCCAGGATGCTTTGAGGAAAATGTGAAAGTAATTTTTTTTTAAAAATCTGGTTCCCATCTTACTCAGGTTACTAATTAAAAGATAGAACAACGGATATATACACTCTGACCAGCTCAGGAAATCAACCACTCAGCCACTTAATAAAGTGTTATTGTATGCTGAATCCACAGATGCTATAATATTCCTTCCAAGTTGTTTAAATTCAGTATTTCCTACAGATAAGACCGTTTGAAACGAAGTGCTGTATTAACGTATTTCAGACATCGGTGGTAGTGTTTCAGGAGCAGTGGTAGGCCACTTAACCTTGAGCTACTTCCTGATTTGAAATAGAAAAGAATTGACCAGGTAACCAGAGAGCACCTTTTCTCTTTCTCTCTTTTTTCTTTTTAGGTCTCAGACGCATTCTATGTTTATAATTAGTTTTGTAGAAATCGTGTACTGGGCTTTATAAATGAGTGCCTCTGACTCTTTGAGGAGTGTTGATGATCACTGAGGCTCTGTGGTCAAAAGGAGTCAGTTACTTTCCTCAGTACTTTGACCTTAGCAAGGTCAACCTTAATCATATCATCCAGAAAAGCAGGGGTATCTGAGAAAAGAGGACCCATAGTTTCTTAGTCTTCTGTTCTGAGGAATGATGAAAGTCACTCCGAAGGTGCATCTTCTCTCCCCAACTAACCTAGATCAGCTTTAACTTGGCAAATATGAAGAACTTGGGTCACCACTGCATCTGTTTAAACACTGCTTGTGCATCCAGTCTCGTCGGCTTTTCAACACGCTTGTGATTTCTATGCCTAACGCTAATTTCATTTGCTTTACTTTTCTGCCTAAGTCATTGCGTGTGATCTGTGGTCACCATGGTGACTTTGTCAGGGATTCTCCTTAAAGAAATGCTTAGTGAGCGTCACAGGATGGGAGGGGTCTGGGGGTCTCACCTCATCCTCCTCCACAGCAACACGAAGTTCCCTGGCCCCAGCCCCACCATCACTAATAGAAACATCTGATATCCATTCCAGAGTGTTCACACACCAGAAACCCCTAAGCAACAGATACACGTTTTCCCACTTGAATTTCACAGCAGTTTATGAGTTAGATATACGGGAAGAGGTGAAGAGAAAAATGAACACATTTCCGAAACTCACAGAATCCATAAGAGATATAGCCAGCATTTGGATCCTGGCGGTGGTACACTTGGAGAGGACACATGTTTCAAAGTCCTGTCTAGCAGTCATGTATGCTGTGTAACAAACAGCACTCACTCTACAGCCCCACAGCCCTAGATCTAATTCTACCTTTCCTTCTTTGTATCCGTGTGACCTTGAAACTGACCAAACATCCTTGGGATACAGACAGATATTCAGCCTATAAAATGAGGATAATGATAATTTTACAATTCTAGAACTACTCTGTGAAGGTAGTAGAATAGAAGAATGCCAATAATACTAGTTCCTTGCCTCACTCACTTCCTGCCAGAAGGGCCAGTGTCTTCCATCTCTCTTATCTGGGTGAAGTCACTGTGTTTTACACAGAAAATGATCAAATGGCAGAAGAAACAAGTTGCTAAGTGGATGAGTAATTGAGAATCGGGTTGATTTGGAAACCTGGTGAGAATTCACCACTCTGCCGTTTCCATCCTGGTTTTCCTCCTGTTCCATAAGATCCCATCAAGCTCATTTTTAGCTATGGGAGGAGGGCGTGCCTCTTCAGTGTGTGCACTCTGGATTTGTAAAACCCAAAGATGGTGCTAGGCTCCTCATCCCTTCCCCCCTGACGGCCTCATCCCTCCCCCCTGACGGCCTCATCCCTTTCCCCCTGACGGCCTGGAAATAGCAGCCGTGTTGGCGCTGATGCGGGTCAAGGGACCGCGCGATTCTGTGTTCACCGCGTGTTGATGGTGGCAAGTAATACTGCTGTCCCTGGGAGAAGTTCAGGTGAACACAGACGCCTTTTATCTAACCATTTTCATGGGCTCTCTTCCTCCATTATTCTCTAGACTTCTGGAAGAAACAGTGAGGTATTTTCTACCTACAAAGTAGGTAGTTTGAATCCTTCGGAAGCAATAGGTGAAGTACGTCTCAAGTTGTTTACAGACATGGGAGTGAGGGGCCATGGAGGGCTATGGTGACGTGGTCAAGGTTCTCAGGACTGGAACTGGAGGGAAGGCCTTCCTCCTCCCAGCCTTCCCGATTGTTCTACCTATTGCGCGCTGCCGCTGCTGGTCTCGTGGTTCCTTGGCCTCACCCTCCAGCCTCCACCCTGATACCAATGCATGGAAACCTGCTGCATCTGATACTCTGTCCCCCAGCACATGCAGACGGGAAAAGTGAAAAGCCAGCTCCTGAAGCAGGCCTCCTTCAATTACCTAGGTTATCTCCAGATGTTCATTAACAGGGCCTCTGGGGTCCCCACTGCCACGGGAAATCACAGGGATACTGAAGACAGGCATGGCCCCTGACCTCGCCCGAAGGGTTAATCACAGCACTTGCCACCCATTTCCATAATTGCAGTCTATGTGCTGTCTGCTCGCAGAGTCCACATTCCGAGAGAGCAAGGTCTGTGCCTTCTCTAGCATTGATTCTCTAGGGCCTGTCATCATATCCAGCTTATAATAGCATCCATGTTTAAGAAATAAACACTGCTTATTTTAGTATCTGTTACAACACAATAGACTGTAAGAAAGACAAATGTGTAACCTTTTCCACCTTGGGGTATTTTCATAGCTCTGTATGCCATTTCAGGTAGCCACTATGGAACACTCTGCATCATTTTATACCATCCCTTCCTTCCCTCCCTCCCAGTCCCGCTCCGTCCCTTCCTTCCTACTTGTGTTTCTTCCTCTGCTGGGGATCAAACCCAAAGCCTGGCACATGAACCAACTTCTCTACTACTGAGCCAGGTGCCTGGCTACAAGCTCATCTTTAATGCAACAGTGTTTCCCATTTTCAGAACCAAGAGATAGGAATATTTTTGAACTTCTAAGATAACTGGGGGTTCTTAAAGCAGTACTTACTCAACAATCATGGTAAGAGATAATGAAAAAAACAATGGAATGTGTAGCAATTGTGCACGTCCCAAGATAAAAATCTAATATTTAAAATAACTTTCATGAGAATATTAATATCACTATCCTTAAACACTACTAAATTGTCTTTTTTAAACAAATCACAAATCAAAGTAAATGACATAAATTCCAGTTTTCTAAGACACCTGTGAAAATAATTTGTTGGCCCTTGAAAGTACTTCAGGAATTGAATGTTTTAAAATATTTACAGGGAATGGAAGTTTACCTAATTGTTAAAAAGTCAGCTTTTATTTATACTTATCAGGTCCTGTAATCAGATTTAAGACAGTTAGGATGTTGCTAACCTCATTGTTTGAAGGAACTTCAAAAATCCAGGCCCAGCTTTTTTTTTTTTTTTTTTTGGATCAGGCTTTGAGCTTGAACTCAGGGCCTGGGCGCTGTCCCTGAACAATTTTGCTCAAGGCTAGTGCTCTAGCACTTTGAGCCACAGCTCCAGTTTCAGTTTTTGACTGGTTAAGTGGAAATAAGAGTCTCGTGGGAACTTTCCTGTCTGGGCAGGCTTTGAACCATGATCCTCAGATCCCAGCCTCCTGAGCAGTGAGGATGACAGGTGTGAACCACCAGGACCCTGCTTAGGTTCAGCTTTTTAATAGTATCTAATGCAACTAGAGGATATCACAAGGACATCAATGACCCCTATCAGAGAGGGTGGCACTGTCACTGTTTGACCTGGGTGACCAGCGTTGTGGCTACATCTCCAATGGCTTTAGCCCGAGGAGCTCCATGGGTAGACGCATAAATGGATTTGTACAGCAGCTGATGTTTTAATGTCTGACTGTACCAATCATTGTGAAAGGCTCGCCAAGATTCATTAGTTCATGACAATAATGGGGGGATCTGGAAGAGATTCCTACAACAGTTATGAAAGGCAAATGACACTTACCTGTGCTTGACTGAACAATGCCAGAGTCTACGGTCTGTCCAAGAAGGTCATACTGGTTTAAGCGGGACCCATCTTCTGCCACCACCACGGATCGAGCCGGCTCTCTCGTCCACTCGTAGACCACTTCTGCTCTTGTATAAGCATCTAAAAGGAGAGGATGGGCACTATCAATGCATTTTCGCCTCATTGGTTCTTCTAACTGGTTAGTGTGTTTTATCAGCTTCCTATTTGCAATCTCCTGCTTTCAGGGCACAGGCTAGGAGAGGAACACCTGTGCTCATTCTCTTGGGAATACCAAAACACTTGTTTCTCCTTTCAGCCATTTGCTCATTTGCCCAACAGATGATTGTTAAGTATCTACGATGGACCCAGTTCTGTGCTAGGCATACAGTAATGCACGAAAACAAGGTTGCTGGTCTTAGAGGATATACACATTGTAGGAGGAGGGATACAAACAGAGACGCAGATAACTGCATGATTTGATATAATGCTAAATACAATAAAACCATACACACCTAGGGAAAGGGTCAGAGACTGACTGGGGAACCATTTCAAGTAAGGTGATTGACATGGGGGGAGGGGCCTCACAAGAGCCGATGTTGATACAAGTGTCTGATCAGCATGAGAAACTGAGGCAGGAAGAATTGATGGGGAAGAGCTTAGGGAAAGGGCGTTGTGAGGGACAGGTGTTCATTAACTGTTTCATTACATGGCAGATAACTTTTTAAAAGGAAAGCAAATGTTTCTTCTCTTGTAAGAAAAAGCCAGTGCATTAGAGGAAAACCTTTTCAGATTGAAAGGCAGGAGAGAGAAAAGAACAAGGTCGGTAGCTTGGATCCACAGTACATCAAGCCAGAAGCAAGTTAAGATCAATGTGAAAAGTAATTCTAGAAATATTGTTGCAGAGCCGAGTCTGCCCCTTGTTTCTCGGTGATGCTTTTCATGGTGGTGATGACGGTAGAACTCTCTTCCTCTGCCATTGTCATCTATGTCACCTTCAGTCTAGCCACGTCCTGTGAGGGGTTTGGTCGTAGGTCTGATGTCCATGAAGACCGGAGTGGGGCAGTAACAGAACAGCAACAGGGAGGAGGAGAAGTCCTAGACTTGGGATCCCCAGTTATAGAACCTGTGCTGCCGAGCGCCCGTGGCTCACGCCTGTCACCCTAGCTACTCAGGAGGCTGAGATCTGAGGATCGCAGTTCAAAGCCAGCCCGGGCAGGAAAGTCCATGAGACTCTTATCTCCAATAAAAAAAAAAAACACTAGGAAAAAACCAGAAGTGGCGCTGTGGCTCAAGTGGTAGAGCGCTCGCCTTGAGCTGAAGAGCTGAGGGACAGCGCCCAGGCCCAGAGTTCAAGCCCCACAACTGACAAAAAAAAAAAAAAAGAACCTGTGCTTCCCATAAGTGGAAATACTACTTGCTCTTCTCTGGTCAAATACAAAGGGATATTGAAGTAATAAGGAATATTACAGTAGAGAAAATAAGCTATTTCCAGGGCATGAGGGCATGAAAGCCAAAGTTGGCCAAAGCTCCACTCATTGGCCAGTTCTTTCCTTAGTGGACACAGTCCCCAGGGCCTGAGGATATTTTAATCCATTTTAAATGGGAAAATAAAGCGGATACATTCTAACTGTATTTTTTTTTGGTCTTTTCTTTTTTGGTACTGGGGATCGAACCCAGGATGTTGCACTTGCTAGGCAAGCGCTTTGCCACTGAGCTACATCCCAGCCCCAAAGCGGATACATTCTAATCTGGACTATATTCCTGTTTATTCTGACATAATTATTGCATATAACTTGAATTTTGTTTTGGAGGAATGGCTCTTCATGGCTTTCCCCCCACCGTTCCCAGAGACCAGGCGTGGGGGCTGTGTCCAGATCCGTCTTCATCTAAACTAGAATACTATGAAATGGAAGCTCACGGTTGCTTTTTCACTGGAAGATGAAGCTGCCTGGAAAATAACGTTATTTCATTTCTGAGACAGGGATTTTTATTCAAGAGATCTCTTCTTCAAGTTGGTGTGAGAGAACAGCGTCACCAGTGCTCTGTGTTTTTCTGTGGGAATCCTCTCTGCTCCGACATCATATATAGATCAGTTGATAAGCAGATATCTCGAACACAAATTTTTCCAAGGAGTCTGAAAGAATATAATTTAGTAGTTCCTGAGAGAGATGAAGGTGACAAACGGACACTTTGGAATGTGTTCGTATTGACTCTTCAACTCTTTCGCTGTTGCCTTTATTGGCCTAAGGAGTGAAATGTGTCAGCTTTTGCATATCATGTGAGAAGAGTATAAACTAGGATCTTTTAAGTCTCTCAGAGGAGCACAGAACATACTAGTTTGAGAAAGACTGCATTATTACGGACTTCAAAATCCCTACATGTAGCCAAAACCTTTATTTTTTTTCTAATTGAATTCTTAAGAAGACACACTGAGTAGAAGAAACTCAGTATGGACTGACTTCAGTTTACACAGTGTCCTCACCTTTCAGAGATGGTAGACTGAGGCACAGAGCACTGAATGACTCGTGACACATCCCTGTTTAGAGGGAAAACTGGGGTAACAATGGGGTAACGTGTCATGCATTCTACTCCACTGTCGTTAGTAAGCTTTTCGAGGCAGACACTGTGTATTCGGTGCTCATAAGCCAGGCAAGTATAGTCGGTGTTCAGGGCGTTAGCGATGAAGGCAGTCTACAAATGGATTAGCTGTTAGCGGCCATGGCCAGAACCAACTGTAGAAAGCCACGGAGCCTGGCAGCCCTGGTTTCTCATTCCGCAGAGCTGTGGCACTCTTCACATGCAGGTGCTCACGACACCCGCCACAAAGCAGCTGTGACAACACATTGGAGGTGCCGGTCCCTTCTTACTAGATAAATCTCCCAGGCAAAGAATGCGCTCAGATGGCCAACGCAGATGATTTGCAGTAGAGACGTCATAACCTTAAGGTCTAAGACTAATAGATCCTACTGATTCCTCAGATTCCAGTATCTAGAAATATTTCCTATGGAAATTTACTTAAGAGGAGATGTCGTCGTTTTCTTATTTCAGTTTTACTGGGGTTTGAACTCAGGGCCTTCTGCTTGCTAGGCAGCCTAAGCCACACCCCAGTCCCTTTTGCCTTTACTATTTTTCAAGCGAGGTCTCATGTTTCAACATGGGTCACTCTGAACTAATTTATGCTTTCATCTGTGCTTCCTGTAAAAGTAGGATGACAGGGATGCACCGCCGTGCTTGGCTTAGATGGGTTCTCTCTAACTTTTGGCCTGATTTTGAACCGCAACTCTCTTGAGTAGCTGGAATTACAGGCATGAGCCACCATGCTGGGCTGAGATGTCTTAAGCCTAAGGAAAGGAAGATATAATTTAAATAGTCTAAAACTACTTAGTCATGGATTTCGAACTCTGTTTCCCAGTCGCATTACCTAAGGAAACATGATGGAGATACAATGATCTGGCCAGGGTTACTCCAGGACTTGGTGGTGGTACAATACTGGAATGGTAGCTTGAGTATTGGAATAGCAGAGTGTAATTGGTATTATCGCTTCTCTATTGTCGGCCTCCGATTTCCCATCTGCAGGAGGCAGCTGAGCTAAATCATGGCTGAAGCTATGTATTTGCCAGAATTCATCTAAGTTTCTATTCATTCTCTCTTTTGTCTACAAGGCACCATGCCTCATAACCGGTCAGATAAGAAGCAGACAATTACGAAGAGCTTCCAAACCCGACATTTGCCTGGATCTTAATATCAGAATCCAGCACCCGAACCTCTCCTTTTTTCCTTATTTAGTCTTTATTGGCAGTACATTCTGGGCTTTGGACTCAGGACTTTGTGACAGTCAGGCAGAGGCTCTACCACCTGAATCATGCCACCAGCTCTTCTTTGCTCCACTCACTTCTCAGGCAGGATCTGGTGTTGCTCTGGGGCTCCTCCTGTCTGGGCCCCCTGGGCAGATGGAACTACCGGCATCCTTCACCAGCTCCTTCCTGGGCTGACCCTCAACTGTGGTTGTCTTGCTCTCTGCTTCCCTGGGTCTGATCCTGGGGGAGGGGGCACGCGTGGAAAGGAGCCCCTCTCTTGACTGTCCACGGGAAAGCGTTCTCTCCCTTCCTGAGCCCTTCTGGTGCATCCTCCTTGCTGACATTTTAGCAAGGTCTTTGCTCCAGAAACCAAGTCCCACCAATTTGCATTTGGCTGAACAGGCTAATCCCGCCACAGTGGAGCAAGGGTTGGGCATGGAGGCCGAGCTCCCCTCCTCTCTCCAGGCCAGATCTGCAGGGAAAGCCACCCACAGCCCAAGGCCAAGTTTCTTAGCTGGATTTGCCCACACCTCACACCCCTCTTCTCCACAGCCTGATCCCTGAAGACGTATCTGCAGCCCCGATGAGTATGATCTGCCTTTGTACAATCAGCAGGTAGTGCCAGAAATCGTTGCATTGACCTCTGCATTAGGAAATGCGTTCCGTGGGCCCTGCTCTCACAAAAGTGGCATGCGTCAGAAACTAAATGCACTAACCGATGAATAAAAGTAATAACACTTTGAGAAGCAGCCTGAAATAAATGTGCTCTTGAATCAAGCAGGCTGAGATTGATAGGACTGTTGCCAAATGTCTATGACACAGCCAAAGAAGGCCCTGGGGATATTTATGTTTAGATAAGAATGGTGGTAGGCCTGTCAAGTGTCAAGGGTAGAGTTAATGCTGGCAGAGCAAAGATCCCGTGCAAAGGCACTGAGGCCGATAGCTGCTTAGGTGCTTTTCTTTACCTCTAGTTTTCCTGTGTGATTCACTATTTGTTTTCCACGCACAATCCATTTCTTTCTTCCTAAAATTATCTCTAAAATAATTCAGGTTGCAAATGTACCCAGATAAAAATATTTTCTTCCCAACCTCCTTCTCAAATAACTTTGGCAACATGACACACATTTAATTAATAGGATATGAGGAGAAGCCTGTTAGGATTTTCGCATGAGCTTTTCTCTTTTTTGATAAAGGTACTCGTTTCTTTTTCACCCATGGTTCATCCTCTTGAAAATGAGGGGCCATGGCTGGCGTTTCAGCAGTCAAAACGAGCAGCCCACCACCCATCACTTCCCTCCATCCACCTTGTATGAAAATATAAACTACATATAAGCTATGAAACGTGTATCAAATGTTAACAGCTATTCTTACTAGTGAAACAAATCCTAGCAAATGCAGACATGTCATTGCCCAAATCAGCTCCTCTTTTAGGACAGGCACATTCTTCACGATTGTACCAGTGCGTCAGAGAAACTCTTCTGTGTCACCTTCCTGAGGCACTCAAACACATGCCATTTAATAGTTGATATTTCTCCGAAATATCAGCATAAACTCCCCTGCAGGAAAGGGAGCCAGTGTCCGGGGGACACGAGTGACCCCGGATGCGAGCGCGTTTGTCCTGGGCCGCGGCCTGGACGGGGTGTCTGCGTGCGGAGGCCGCGCTGCCTTCCTCCCCGGGGGAGACCAGGGCCGCAGACGGCGCGCGGACCCGACCGGTGGGGGACCGCCAGAGGCAGCGGCGTTCCCCTGACTCCCCGGGGAATCCCGAGGATCTAGAACTTTCTAACAAGAACCTCCACTATGGAGGGCCCTTTCTCTCCTGTCCTGTGCTGCTTCCGAGGACGTTTCATGTGGCACTCGGGTTAGGTCACTTCAGACCCAACCCGTCAGCCAGGAGGGGTGAGCGGGAACTCAGACAAACAGAGACCCGGTCATGGCGGCCCCAGGGCCTGCGTGCGCCCTGCCAGTGGTTGCTCGTGACGGACGCTGAGCTCCAAGGGCTGCTGCCTCCCCTCAGCAAGCCGGCGCCCAGCGCCCAGCGCCCAGGGGCCAGGCCCGAGGACCCGAGGACCCAGGAGCGCCCAGGGGCCAGGCCCGAAGACCCGAGGAGCGCCCAGGGGCCAGGGGCCAGGCCCGA